GTCATCAATACCTTGTCGAAACGTTGTACATTTGCTGTTATGTTAAACTTATATTAAAGTTTTTCTTCATTACCCATTTAAGCCATCTCCAACCATTATAAATAAAGTATCAGCATTACATTTTAATATGGGGAAACAGTGAGTTTGACCTCATGAACCCAAACACTGTTCCCTAGGATGACTCTTGTATGTTGAAACTGATAAAAGATGTATCAAACCAATGAAAGTAGAGTGTGTTTATTGAAAAAAAAAATGTATCAGAATTTCCTCCAACTAACCGTTTTGTTGGTTTTTATATAAAATGGTTTCACCTTAAGTGACTTTGAGAAGAGTCTGGACATGGGTTTAAATACTTGGCAGTAATGTGCTACAAGTTTACTGTGTTATGTATTCCACCATGAAACTTATTAATGAACCTTTGCTACCATATAAATAAAAATTGTATAAAGTAACCCAAGAACTAATTTGTTCAGAAGCATGAATACATCTATTAATCACATCCACAACAAACATCACAAAATTTAAATTAGATTTAGGATCCCCAGTTAGTAGAGAAAGGTCAGTTTGTGTAGATTTGATCTACTGCTTTGGTTTCATTTCCAACAGAATGTGTAGGAGTTTAATAAGGAAGTAGTTTAAACCTTTTTCAAAAGAATTGTATAATAGGTTGTGAGATATAACCTCTGTATTAGATCCCTGAGACTGGGCAAGTGGTTATTACAAGTTTTTAGGCTTATCCCATTTTCTTGTGCTAATATTGTTCATTGCCTTAAGACATTCAATTTAATATGCTTCTAGACATCTTGGGCAATGTCCATACATAGTCTGGTAATCACCCATAATTATAGCATAGTGTGGCTTGGTTTCAGTATATTCATTGAATGAATTAGGACAACTGTAAGTGGAATATCTGCCACTATGAGCAGTGATACAGTGAATTTTTGACATACATTAAGGTCCAAAAATTTAAAACCAACCACTATAATAGTTAGGAGCTGGTCTGCATTAAACATCACTAAAAGCACTCCAGGTATCAACTAGGCTCTCTACAACTTTGAAGGACTGATGATTAATAGCAAGAACTGGATATATTGGTTGACTTGTTCTTTGTATAGTTCATCAGCAGGTGGTATCAGGGAAAATTAGAAGGTAGCAAATCAAGACTTCCAGTTCCCTAATTGTGAGATATTCCATGTTTTCTTGGCATACTTTTTATTGCTGGTTTCTATAGCAAATCCATCACTTGCTAATTTTTACACCTTTAGAATAGCTATAATTACCTAAATGTTTTAGCCAATTTTAACTGATTACACTTATTGAAAGAGAGAGATCTGAATGTGTAAGCATGATTATATTTTGGGCAGATATTGGAGTTTCCAACTTTGTCTTGCACTGACAAGGTAATACAAATACTAAAGATTAATCAAGCCCAACCAGATAGGTCAGTTAACAAAGATAGAGAGAAAAACTAAAACAACTTCTGGGGTTGCTCAGAACAAGAAAGAATCCTGCCAAATGCAGTGCACTCTGTACATATGTTAAAGTAAGGGAAATTTAATTTTTAAAACAAAAAGTATTAATTGGTGACTTACTGTAAATAATTTAAGAAAATGATAGTAAGCCTAAATATACTACCTTGCATGTTATCACAGTACTGTACAAATGTATGGACATCAATTCTGAATTTTTTTATACCATTTTTTAAAACAGTTCTTAATTAAATTCAATAAACAAACATTCTAAGATTTTAGTTTAATTTGATGTGTTGAAAAATTTGCTTTATCCATTTAAAAAAAATAATACTTGAATAAGATATATATATTTGATAATTGTCGAGAAATTTATTCCTAAGAATTTAACAGATGTTGCTTGAAAAATATTTGTTTCAGTTAATTCATACATTAGAAGTCTTATATGTTTTGTTTTCCTTGTATTAAAGTACAGTTTTTCATTTCACTTTGAATAATTTTCATTTTTCTAATTTTCTCTTGTGTATTTCAGATGGAAATTGTATAGTTATTTTAGTAACTATCTGAAGTTCCTGATTTTGATGGTATTTACCAAAATACATAATGTTTGATGCAAAACCATTTTCTGTGATGGAAGTTGAATACAGAGGTTTGTTTTCACTTTTATGATAGAATTTTTATGTACATAAGTTTAACCTTTCAAGTTAATTATTTTCTGTAACTAAACTGCAGAGTGTGAGATGTTGAACTACTAAATGCTTTAGTGAAAGCTTTTACAGTCATCAATAAGTTTAAAAAAAAGTTGAGGATTTAATGAAACTTTGATTTCATGAGGCTGTACGTTAATTTTGTTTACTCTTTAGTCCTGCGACAAATTCATGTGCAAAGCTAAATTTTTTGTGCAAGTCTTCTCTGGTGTGGTATGGCCTGTTACTTAGGGCATTCAACTTGCAATCTTCAGGTCACAGGTTTAAATCACTTTATTGAACACGCTAGCCCTTTGAGATGTGGAGGGGTGTTATGATGTGATAGTCAATTTCACTTTTTGTTGGTAAGGAATAGGCCAAGGATTAGTGATGGGTGGTGTTGGCTAGCTGCCTTCCCTCTAGCCTGTCTTTCAAAATTAGTGATGGCTGTTGCAGATAGCCTTTGAGTAGCTTTGAGCAAAATTAAAAAAACAACATTATTTATTTTGTGAACCAAAACAGATTGTGATTATTATAATTTTACAGTGTGTATATATCTGTATTTGTTAATAGATTTTTTGTATCAGTCATAAACATTTTGGAAAATAGTGTACTTTTATATGCTTAGGTTTCCTTTAAACTGAAACTAAGAATAGAATAAGTTTTTAAATCTATGTTTTGTAAAATTGTGTTAGAAATATGAAATTAGATATGCTTATGTAAAAGCATTTTAAATAGAACAATATAAGTGTTTTTCTCTAGAAATTAAGTAAAACTTCTAGATGGTAGGACATTTTCACAAATACATTAAGAAATGACTAATTGTGAAAAGTGTGGTTTCATCTACCTGTATAAATGCTTGAAGATTTTTTTGTCTAATAGATGAGGTCTTCAACAAGCCATTACACATAGGTTGTGATGGTTTTTTTACTTTTGCTATCGGTTTAAGTTCACGAGTTATGCTTATTTTAATTATGATAAACTAAAAATGACTTTGAGAATTAAGATATAAAAATAATAATAATAATCATTCATACAAAGGAATACCAAATTGATAAGTCTTCTCCATCATGTCTATTATGGAAGTTTAAGCATAAGTTACTTCAGAATTTAGCATTGTTTGTTACTGTATTTTCATTGTCATGATTCATTATTTGTTTTGCTAGGTATCCTCTGCACCAAGTGAATGTTTGTTTTTTCTGTCATATTGTTGGTACATTGAGAGTTGAAAATTGACCTGATTCCAAAATTTCAGTACACAAATGATGTTAATACTGCTGTATCTATCAAATGTTGACTTGTCATATTTGTGGCAGTCACCACCTTTTGATGGTTGTTAACACTGTTTTTATTCAATTTAAATCTCTTTCGTATTTATTTCAAAACTAGCCTACCCCTGTATAGCATTTCCTGTTTCTTATGTAATATCTTTATGCTAATTAGTTAAATCTAGTATTAAATTTGTTTCTATAAAATTGAAAAAGCTGAAAAAAACTGTTTACCTCATTTTGAAAACTTCAAGTAGCCATGTGGCTTTTATCTGAACTAGTCTATTATAATTTCTCTTACAGTTTTTGAAAACACTTAGAACTGTGGTCTGATATTATTATTTGGCATTGAAGATCTTATGTTGACAATATGTACAGTATTTGAGAGCATCTTTGACAGCAAAGTTAAAAGAAATAGAGTGCTTTGATAATATTTTCATGTTTGTGAGCCAATACTTTTATATGTAGCAAGACCCCTTTAGTTGCATTTCTGTGACCTGATGCCTTTAGATCTGATGAGAAATTCCAGAAAAAGGATTATTTTAGATAGTCCTTTAAAGACAATAAATCATAGGATTTCAAACAACTTTAGTGTGTTGTTCTGGTAAAAATATTCTTTAATTGATGAGACAAATACATTTCACAGTTGGAATTAAAACTATGATATCATACCAAATATCTATTGCTCCTAACTTCATGATGCTCATGATATTTCCATTGCCTTACTATGGACTAATCAGTTTTTTTTTCTATTGAATAAAAACATAAAAAAATGTTTAACATGATACAAATTAGTTGAGGAATCTGTTTTCATGTTCTATGGAACTTAAAAAAATTAACAGTTCAAAAATCTAATGTAGAGATTTTGGTGTTGATGGATGAGAGCTGTCTGTAGTTATAATAAACATTTATCATGCCTTTAAATTTTACACCAAAGTTGAGATATTCAGGTTTTCAAACAGTTGCATAATTCACTGTAGTTAATGATGAAGATTTTTATAGAGAAAAATTAAAAGTAATTGATGTATTTATTTTGTGGCTTGTTCAGAAAAGTTAATATTTCAGTAAATTTGTAATTTGAAAAATTATATTATAGTTCACCTAATCAAAGGAATATGATACAGGTGTATTTCATTTACTATACGAGATTTTAATTTCAAAATAGAATGGTTCTTGGGTTACATAACACAGGATATCTGTACTGAATTTGTTGTTTTGTAATATTAAAGATTTTGTAGAGTTGAATTCAGAGCTGGGTGATTTAATCAATATAATTGGTTAGTGTTACATAAACTAATTGACTAATTGAAATTACAATTAAATCAAGCTATTGAAATTAATGTTTCCAATTATTTTAACAGTCAGTTGAAATTATGATTAAAGCGATTGGCATGAAAATAATCAACTAATCAGAATTACTGTTTCTGATTTTTCTAACAATTGATTAATTCAAATTATTATTAAATTGATTATTATGAAATTAATTGAAATTAGGATTTCTGATTATTTCAAATATCCAAGTAATCCAAATATTTTTGTTGTGTATGTTTGTTGTTAAGCTCAAAACTACATAATGGGCTGTCTGTGCTGTGTTTAATTTTAGCCTTTTTTTGTATTTTGTTAACTTCAAGTTTGTTCTGCCTTAGAGATTTGAAGGTCTTGGGTTCACTTCTTGTTGCCATCAAACTTGCTTACCCTGTCTTTGTTATGTCAAAGCTACTAAGACTATTTGCCACTGTCACTTATTTTGAATTGCTGACTAGAGGGAATGCAACTGTCTAGCAGCACCCACTGCCAGTTTTATTTTGATTGTAATACTATGGTTTGATAAACACTGTTAATTGATTAATTGAATGTAATTTATGAATGGGAACTACAGTAAATGAGTTAGTAAATATCACTGCTCATGCAGCTTTAGTGTTAATAAACTAGATGAATGAATTTTTAGGGCTGATTCATAGAAAAATGTTGAAGCACAGCAAACGGAACTGAGCTTAGACCAGTCAGCTTGGGTTCTGGTAGCCTGTGCAAAATAAAACTTTTGTCTAACACTGTAATAAATTCAACTCTGTATTACTTGGAGCACAGAGTGTTTGACTTTGGTAGATACATGATTGAATGAATAGAATTAAGACTTATTTGAAGTAGTAAGATAATGCTTCACTGAACAAGCCATAATAATAATTGGGATGAAACATTGTTTAAAAGTGATCAATTTATCATGTGTTTGCTTTAATAAAGTGCTTTTCATACAATGTATGCATTAACATTATTTGACTAAAAAATTGTTTTGCAAAAAATAATCCAAAGATATATAAAGGATTGAATCCTCAAGCTCCTGCATAGGAAGCATGTTCTGTGCCATATGGGGTGAAGCCATATGGGCAACAGGGGTTAACCCACAAAATTTCTTCATAAGTGGAGGGTGAAAATATTGCCTACACACCAATTTTAAACAGTGTGTTATATTCCACACTGGAAATACTATTTACCTGCACCTGGGTGGTCTAGTTTATAAGAAAATTGTAAATATTTTTTGTCTGAGTAATTTAGATATTTGTATAAAAACTTCTCTTGAATGGCTTAAGATTAGTCTGATCATTAACCCTTAGTGTGCAAACGTAACATTATTTATCACCCTCTAAGTACATTTTGCAGAATTTAAATAGCTTTTATGGAAAATGAAGGGTAAATAATTTATTATTGACAAATGTTTTAGATTATCTGCATTTATATTTTATATCACATAATCATATAGAACACTCAACAAAAAGCAGTCAGAATAATACAATCTGTATGCATTCCGTTCATAATATTTGCATAATATAGGTTTGACAGTTTAATGGGTTATTTGAGCTGTGACATTTAGTTACCAATGCTATATATGTAATCAGTTGCAAATGTAATTTAGTGCCTATAAATGGAATGCATGGCAGGATGATTATCATGACTCATTTCTGAACACTTTACATTAGCATATACACTGTGTATACATACATATGAATCATGCAATGGAATAGAATGTCATTTTGAATATTTAATTGGCGGTTTACTGATATGCATACACAAAATCATTTTATATATAAATATTATTGTACATATACATCTACGCATTCATATCCTCATTTGTACCTGATTAGATAGGTATGAATATAATTATTAACAAGGTAATAATATTTCTGATAACAGTACTCTTCATATAGATAATTTATATCTTAACAAATATAGCTTCTTTTCAATAATTTTTTTATGTTATTTAATTATGATAAACACTAATTTAGTATTTTGTGTATTGGGACTAAGTTTTCAGCATACTTTGCTGTTACCTACTGTACTCATAAACCTAACCTAGTTTACATGATTTCTTCTCATCAAACAAAATTACTGTAGCTTTTAAACAGATATAACTTAACATACAAACAAACCTCTGAACCCCACTTGAAGATTTGCATGTATGGGGCTTATTTTGTTGCTTCAGCACTTTGAAACGTATGGATGGGGAGGTTTGAAATCCTATCTTATACCCTGGTAGATTCATGAACTGCATTCTAAGGTGTGTTTTTTTTTCCTTGCATTAAAGTACAGTTGTACATTTTTTGAAAAATTATAATTTTTCTTGTGTTTTTCAGATGGAAATTTTCCAGCGTGTTTTTGTAACTTCCTCAAGATTTATAGTTTGTACTCCTCGTGGTATTTACCAAATACATTTGATGCAAAATGTTTTGTTTGTGATGGAACTTGAACACAAAGGTATGTTTTCACTTTTCTAAAAGAATCAAATTTGTAACCTTGAAATTAACTTTTTTATACTAAGCTTCAGAATAGGAATATTAAGTCATTAAAAAAATAAAAAAGGTAATTACTGTCATTATTATTTATCAAAACAAGTTGAGGGTTTTATGGGCATTTCTTGTATCTTGAGACTATATTTAAATGTTGTTGTTTTCTTAACCCTGTGACAAATTCATGTGTGAAGCTCACTCTTTCTCAAGTTCTCTTTACTTGTTATGTAAACCAACATGAATTGTGGTTGTTAGTTATCATAGGTTGCACTAATATCTCACAGTATGATTAAAAATTGTACATTGCACATTGTATGTTTTTATGTTTGTTAACAGGCTGATTTTTTGCACAAAAACTTAAAATCCAAATATTTTGAAAATATAATCTTTCTTAATGCTTAAGTTGCTGGAAATTTGAAGCTGTAAGATATATCACTGTTTTGATACAGAATTGTGAAATATGTCCTAATGTGTTTTAAAAATGGTATTAGAACTCTGAAATGACATAATAAAAAACTGTAGCTTAAATAGTCCAATATAGATTTTTGTTTAGTGTATGACTGGATATTTTTCTAAAGGTATACTAGATTTTGACAAAATTAAGTGTACAGAAAAGGTGATTTTTTGTTGTGAAAGGTTCATTAGAATTCACCGACATATGTGAATGTTTGGTAATCTTTTATCTGATAATGTAGGTCTTCAACAAGTTTCTGTGGCTAGATTTTACTGATTTATGAGTGTTTTGTACTTCTTTTGGCTTAAATACATGAATATTATGGTTATTTTCATTACAAGAAACTAATGTGTCTATTTCTTGATGTATAATAATTAGCTACGTAAAAGGAATGCTAAACAAACAAGTCTGTGAAGTAATGTGTATGTATATATTAAAGCTTGCTTTGTAGTGATTGTTTGTTTTTATCTGCCTTGGTGAATCAAGAGTACAGTTAGTAGCAGCTAGTGTAGAATCTTGAGTGTTTCATGATTAGCACCGAGGGATCGGCATTTGGAATTGTGATGTATAACAACACAGCACAGAAGTCAGTACATCTGCTTTGATGACTGAAGTGAAAATAACGATTATAAAAGAACAAATGAAAAATGTATTTATTGTAGATACCATAAATCCAGTATCTCAATATCACCCTAGGCTAGTTAGAAAATGGGGCTAATTCTGCTATGGCCAATAAACAATAACTTATTATATTTGTAGCATTCAACACCCTGTAATTACTTTAACAATACTTAATTTAATTCAATCTGAAAAATTCCCTCTTAATGTAGATTTCAAAATTTTCTAACTTTCACTATTTATTTCAGATTTGAGCTGCTTTTACTGTCTCATAAGTACTGTTTTTAGTTTATCTGTTAGAGCTAGCATTAAAGTAATTATTTCTGTTACCTTAATTTGAATATGGCAGTAGTCACATTTATCTATTACCATATGTTCTAGCTTATTATCTTTTTTCACAGTTTTTGCAAGCCTTTAGAGCAATGATATTATATGAATATTTGACATAAAAGATCTTATGTCCATGTTGGTGGCAGAATATGAGAGCAACTGTAAGAAAACTTGAAAAAACGATACATAACACATTATCATATTTTTGCTTCAGATAATGAACAAACTGAAGAGAAATAGTACTTTCACATTTCCGTGTATAAGATCTAGTGTTTTGTGTTGCTACGCCCCTTGAATTGTATTTCTATGACAGCATTTAGATCTGTTCTAGAAATCCCAGTAAATGTTCTGTTCTTAAACTGTTGTAGTTGGTGATTAAACCTTTTCTTGAAGTAAATGTTAAATACTTGATATATTTATGCTCTTGCTAATTTGTGGAAATTGGTATTGTAACACTGGTATAATGAATATTGAGTTCATTTGAAGAATTGTATTGCAATTCATCCAATAGAAAGAATGTGATACATGTGTATTTCATTCACCTATGAGATTTTAACTTGAAATAACATGGTTCTTAGAGAGAATAATAGAGAATATATGTACACTGAATTGCTGTGTTGTTGTATTAAAGATATTGTAGTGTTGATAAACTAGATGAATTAGAGCTGATTCATATAAATGTATTGAGGCACAGCAAACGGAACTAAGCTTAGACTGATCAGCTTGGGGTCTGGTAGCCTGTGCAAAATAAAACTTCTGTCTAATACTATTAAATTTATCTCTGTAGTACTTGGAGAACAGCGTGTTTGACTTGGATAGATACATGATTGTACGAACAGAATTAAGACTTAGTTGAAACAGCTTTATAGTGCTTCACTAAACAAGCCATAGTAATAATTAGGATGAATGCAATTACATGTGATTGATTTATGACGTTTGTATTTTATTTTTCCAATATTTTTTCTTCTAAACAAATTTAATACTTGTTCTAGTAGATTCATAAACTAGACTTTTTAAATATTTTATTTTTTCTTATGTTACTATTCAGTTATACATTTGGCTGTGAATAATTCTAATTTTCTAATTTCATTTTATGTTTGCAGATGGAAATTGCACATCTTCTTGTAACTTTCCCAAGATTTAGGTTTTTTTTTACTTTTCATGATATCTACCAAAATACATGGAAAAGAATAAAAATCCTATAACCCAAGTGCTTTCGAAAGGTGGACCTTTCTTCTTCAGGGGCAAACTGGCAATGCATTATAGTGCAAAACCATTTATTTTTGCTGGAAGTTGAATGCAGTGATCTGTTTCGTATTATCAGATTTGTGACTTTTCAAATTATTTTGTTATACTACATACACAACTTCAGACTGTGATATCATTAGAATAATTTGTAAAAGATGTACGTTACTATAACCATCACTAGTTATGAAACAATGTTTGTTCTTTTTAATTTTTTGAAACTCTTTTAATCTTGTTTTCTGCTTTAACTCCATGACAAATTCAAGGGCAATGATTTCTCTTTTTTGTGGCCCAGTATGGCCAGGTGGTTAGGGAGCTTGACTTGCAATCAGAGGGTTGCAGATTCGAATCCCTGTTCTACCAAACATGCTTGCCCTTTCAGCTGTGGGGGTGGTATTATGTGACAGTCAATCCCACTATTCATTGGTAAAAGAGTAGCCCAAGAGTTGGCGATGG